GCTTGCATGAAAATAATCATGAGGCAATCAGCTGGTAAGAGCTCACGTCTTGCACGAGCAGCAAAAATCTAGTGTGGTTGGGTCAGCTCTGGGCGCCAGGACCCTAAGCATATATCTAACAAAATCAGCATATAAATGCGTGATCATCGAACATACCACGTCGTCAGATTCCCCTCCGCTGCATGCTCCTGCGTATCCATTACCACATTTCGTTGCACGTACTCTGTTACAGTCAGCCCGTTCGCCCACTGGACAGCGGTACGCTTTCGGGATTCCAGTGTTTGCTCAGGTGTAGCGGGGAAGAGTGACAAATTGGCGAGCGGAATAGAATTCATCGCGCAAAGGCGTGACTTTGAACACAGAGGCGAGAGTAGTGGTTACCAGGGGAGTTCAAAGTCGACGCAGCTGGCTCGCACAAAGTTCTGCGGCGCACATGCGGTTAAGGCACTGATGAAGATGCTGATATTATCTGACAGTGATATCGGATGCCATCATGGTCTTTAGATACGTGATTCGTGAACACAACACACTCCAAGTCACTACTGCTACTTCCTACTACTACTCTCACCTCTGTGTTCAAATTTACACCTTTGCACAATGAGTTCTATTCCGCTCGCCAATTTGTCGCTCTTCCCCGCTACACCTGAGCAAACACTGGAATCCCGAAAGCGTACTGCTGTCCAGTGGGCGAACGGGTTGACTGCAGCAGAGTACGTGCGACGGGATGTGGTGATGGATGCGCAGGAGCATGCAGCGGAGGGGAATCTGACGACGTGGTATGCTCAATGATCGCACATTTGTATGCTGAAATTGTGAGACACACACTTAGGGTCCTGGCGCCCAGAACTGACCCAGCGACACTGGACTTTTTCTGCTCGTGTGAGACGTGAGCTCTTACCAGCTGATTGCCTCATGATTATTTTCATGCAAGCCTGGAATTAAATTAGATTTCGCCGGACTGCAGCAATCGCACGTCCAGGTGCACACTCTGAGGCAGAAGAAGTTGTCGCCTACGGTGTAGCTTCTGTGTATACACCTCCCGAGAAGCGGCGGAATGGATATGCGCGACACATGATGCGCCTTTTGCATTGGGTCCTTGCGCCGCGGAGTACACTCCCCACGTTCCCTCCGGCCTGGGGTGCGCCGCCAGATGCGGGACACGGCAATGCCCAATTTTCCATCTTGTACAGCGATCTTGGCAGCCAATTCTACCACGCATGCGGTCCCGATGAAGACCAAGCATCGGGATGGGCCGAATTAGGATCAATCGAGACGAGCTTGACGTTGCCTCTGGTAGCAATCCTTGGTTCTGCAGCCGACTCTTCGCATAGTTGGATGTGGTTGACGGAGGACGACGTGAAACGTGTGTGGGAGCAGGACGCCGAGTGGATGAAGGCCGACTTGGCTGCTAGTGCGTCCTCCACCGGTCGTCTGCAGGCCGCATTCCTGCCGAACAAGGGCGTCGCGGACTCCACGGTGCAGAGGACGATGGCGTTTCAAGCAGACATGCAACCTGTCCTCCCGCTAGATACATGGGGGGTCTTCTTACTCTCACACGAGGGAGCCGCACTGCGGGATGTACTCACAGACCACGAGGGCGAATATCCCACATTCGCGACGTGGTCATTGGATACACTCGCGTCCTCGCGCACACTCATCGTCACACGGCTCCGGGCAACGAAACGAACTCTTCCTGCACTCGTACAGCAGTTGCTCGAGTATGCTGGGAAGTGTGATGCGCGGAAGATTGAGATCTGGGGGATGCAGGAGGAGCTGCAGGAGGTTGCGAATGGGCTGGGCTGGACGACTTCTGCGCGGCCCAATCATTTGTCGTCTTTTAAATGGTATGGAAAGGAGGTGGGCGAGGAGATCGATTGGATGTTCAACGAGAAGTGCGCACCAGTGTTGCTCAGTACTTGGGATATTCATCGTCATGCATGTGCACAGATTCTGCTGGTGCTAATAGGGGTCGTCAGCTTGTTTCGCTGAGATAACGCTTCGCCTATGCCCCATTTTCTGAAATAAGAGCGAAGGGTGCCATGGAAAGTTGAATGTAAATGATAGTGATCTGCAGTCCCTTAGAACAAAGAGTTAGGATCGAAGCATTGCAGTCGCAAAGGCTGTCCGGCAGGGCCAAAGATTAGTTACGGCATATTGCGAGGAGAGATGGCATTGATTGTCACGCGGGATGTGTCGTAGTCCAAAGTCTGAAAGATTGAGAGCCGTGGTTTCTGATGTTCTTGTACTAGTGGCGCGATTCAAAAAATAAGTCAATTGGCGACAAGTACTTTGTAAGACTACTAGTCAAATCCCTAGCATGCTCATGCGCACCGTCAGTGCTTTTGCTTAACCGCAGACTGCTCGTTCCATAGACTTCAGGGAGCTACGAAATAGGTGCGGAAGAGAACTCTAAATCGCAGAGTGAACTCAGCCTAAATGAAATAAAACCGATTTTATGGCCGGCATTGGCCGTGGATTCACTACTGTTCAGCCGTTCAAATGTGGCTTTCGGCGTACCACTGGCCTCTACGTTTCTATCAGGTTACAAGAGTCTCGTGTAATGTGGATTACTGGCTTGAAGGCAGTTCTATTGCTTCTGGAATGGTCTCTGAATTCGGCACGAGTGGTACAGAGTCACACTGTCAGGATTCCCTATTCATACACTTAGCGATATCGGGTTTAGGACGACCGCAGCTGCGGACAATTCAAACAGAGACCACATACTATCTACTAAGATGCATCCGGTGATTGTTGAAACTTGCCGTATCACACGTACAGGCGTGGAACTACGTCCTTTGAGCGTCCTTTGAACGCTAGGATCTAGACCCGGGGCTTATTCAACAATCGGTGAGCTCCCTCCCACTAATGTCATCCTGTAATGTGCCCTGAATAGAAGTGATTAGGCATCAAGGCGTTTTGTTTTGTAAAAATCAAGAGCGAATAGAAGACTCTGGCTGTTTTTCCTCAATTTCGAATGGGATCCTAGGTTGCTCTCGCAGCCTCCGAATGTAGAAACGCCATTAAAGGATCGTATCCCAGCCTTTACAGGATCGTCCCTAGTACTTCGCCTTTGTTGTTCCTACATCTTGTCATTGAGACATGCCTCTGGGGAATACACGTCATGGCGATAGGAGTGAGTCCGATTATCTTATGTTTCGCTGTTTAATCGGCTGAGTGTGTGGTCTTCATCGGGTTCTTTTTTTTTAAATAAGGAACTTTGCGATCCGCGTGACACTTATAGCGCACGGGGTGGACTGTATGCGTTCTTTAGTTACGCCCGGAGTAGGTATGGTAGCCATCGTGTCAGGTATGCCCAGCAAAGTCACAGACGGCATAGTTGTAATCCCGAGAATAGGCAGAGCAGCTCCAGAAAGAATCGGAGATTCGCACGAACATGAGGCGTGATGGGTTACTGACTCTCCATGACCACAGAGCTAAGGCGGAACATAGTGACCTCCGTTCCACAGACCAATAAAAGGTCCTGCAGGTCGAAGTTGACTATACCGTCTCATCCATATCACAGATGTCTACTCCCACTGAACTGTCAATGAAATCCTCTCCGTCGACTGAGACGCCCCCTTGGATAATCAGTCAGCCCACCGTTGGTCGTTTCGTCCGACTCGGCGAACTGTATGACCAGCGGAGGTCTCAATTTCTCGGTGTTCAGCTCTATTCGGAGAGCCAAATTGAGAAGGCGACAGAGACGATGAATGTCAATCACAGCGACCTCTCTCTGCACCAGTCCAACTCGTACAAGGACAAGACTGATTCGATAGGTCTCAACACCCAACTTAGCGTCGAGGTCCTCAGTGGGCTCGTGTCGGTGCAAGGGTCTGCTTCGTTCCTCCGCGACAATAAGTCCACCACCCAAAAGCGCGCGTGGTCGATGAGTCTGAAGATGATTCTGGTAGAGAAGCGACTCAAGTTCGCGGAGAAGGAACTTGGTCGTGATGTACTTCCCTTGGTCTTGGAGGATTATATTAGGACAGACACGGCAACACACTTCGTTTCCTCTGTCGTCTACGGCGGTAATCTTGTCGTCAACCTCGTAGCGAAGACTTCGAAGCTGACAGAGGATGAGAAGATAGAGGGATCGCTAGGTGTAAAGCTGGACAAGCTGAAAGGTATGGTCGATGTCGCCGGAAAAGTGGACGCCTCTAGCAAGGAAAACTTTGACGACCTGAATGACAAATTTGATCTGACAGTGCGACATTTCCTTTTCCACTGAGCTTGACTGCTAATCATATCTTCTAGGTTTATTGCGATATCGCCCTCGATAAAGTACCAGTGAACCCGGTAGACGTCGTGACCTCCTTTGCTCGCGCAGCATCCCGTCTCAGAGAAGGTGGAGGTGTCCCAATATCCGTTACTTTGCAGCCCATCCCTGACGCCCTTCGCACGAGGGCGCTTGTGGTGCACAACATTAACGAGAGGCTGCTGGACGACCTTCTTCATGAATTTGGTGCCTTGGAAGACGTCCGCAGTCGATACGCTGTTCTCGAAGAGGCGGCCAAAACCTACGACGCTCTTGTGCCGGCTTTTGCCAAGAGAGCCCGCAAAGCAGCCGCAGAATTTCGTATCCCGCATCGCGACCTGCTTCTCGAACTTTCCGACGCGTTCCGTGCGCTTCTAAACGGGTCACAAGAGTCAAAGCCCACTGCACGATTGATCAAGAAGGCAGCCGACCTCTCCATGTCGCACAACGCCGACACTATTTTACAGCCCGCCGACAACACCGGAAACCCGTCTGCTGAATCAACTCCTGAAAACTGTGCTTCTCAGACTGAGCATGCAATATCGGGGCTGGAAGAAGAGGTCCGAGATCTCGAAGCAAATTCCACGTTAAGCGCTCTTGAAGATGAGCTTTCCGTTCTGCAGTCCCTCATCGTCGCTGTCGAGAGAAATGGCTTCCACTTGAGCAGTGTTGACGACTTCTCGCTCGCAGCATGCACCGCCGCGTCCGAGATGCCAGTATTCCTTATGCCACCCTTGGTCGGTACCGGGAGAGATGCGAAGCGACTTCAACTCAGTGCGCTCCTGCGCAACGTGGCGCTGAGCTATACGAAGCGGAACCCGCCGACTGTGTGCTATGTTCTCTATATCGAAGATGCACTGGCATTCGAAGAGCGCTTTCCGAACGACGGCCGCTTTGCGGCTTTGGCAGCGCCTGCGGGGTACATAGGTCAGATTGACTACGATGGCACGTTGACCTGGACGTTGATCGATTCTCATTTGGTCATGTCGCGGCACCCGCCCGTCTATAACGTTGATGTCTGCGCTCGAACGAAGGGAAATTCGCCGGATGTTCTTAAGTGCGTTCAATAGGATTGCTGATGTCAACATTATACTGAGATGTTATCATGTTTTTAGCGGCGAGATTGTGCACACGGGACAGATCAATGGCTCGGCCTCGTTCTCCATCATGGTGAGGGCAATGCTAGAGAAAGAAATAGTCCCTCACGGCAAGAGCTCGGCGGACATCCATGCCTCAGGCTTGGTTCGCGATATTGTCCAGGTTTATAATGGCACAGAATCGGTCGCTGCACTCGTAGTGACCAATGGCCGCTGTGTTGGTCTTTCTGTCAAGCATCCCAACGACGGGTGGAAGTTACACGACTCACCTCCTGAACAGCAATTCACCGCTCGACAATACTTTTGGGTCACGTTCGTGCAAGACATGGATGCTAGGAAATGGTACTTATATATGGGTAGCAAGTGTGTCATCGAGCAGGCCATTCCGGTTGGCTTCGATTGGGGTGGCATGGTCAGTTGCAAAAGTCTCCCGTAATGTTGGGAGCTCGATGGCTCATCGTGGATTTTTATATAGCTTCATGTTCATCATAATTTTGGGAGCTTATCCTGGTTGTGGGACGGATATGTAAGTATCTTACTAATTCGCCGCCTTCGATCCTGTACTAAATCCTTGCCTATCACAGGTTCAAAAGGCATTGGTATACTCTTCTTCTCTGACTCCGGTTCGTGTGCTGTCATCCATGATTCTTGCCACTTTTCTCACATATTCTCCAGGACGACGTGAAAGATATCACCGAGAATTATGTGCCTTAACGACTGATTCGGTTTTTGGATGAGATTATATGATGCTGTGTCAAGTGCTGAGGACGGTTCCGTACACGACGATATGTACTTGTTAATCGAATTTATATGTGACGGTTGCCCGTTCTGAGTTGTATAACAATATCTAGTCAGGCCCGCTCACGATTCTCGAGGAGATTTGCGCGTTGAGGACGCGCATCCTGAAATCTACTCGCACCTGTGCCCTCCCCCTTCCATACGCGCTGGTTTTCATGCACGTACAGGAGAATCGTAATTTATACTCCCACCTGGTGCGCCATCACAGTCGCGACAAGAGTACTGTTATCCGAAACATTCGCCGTTCAAAGCATTTTGAAAAGAATTTCTGGAACACAACTCACTGAATCTTTCGCTCCGCAATTTTTATTCTGGGCTGCAACTGCAGTCTCGAGCCTCATACAATATTCTGGTTGTCCGAATTTGGCAGGTTGAGTAGTTCGAATGGTTGGATCTATCATTTGCGGCGTCATCCCCGGCGCGCTTGTTAGGTGACGCTGCGCATCAACAATGCCTCATTACAGCGCTCGATAAAAGCTTGCAAGTGGGACACATCTCTGGCCCATTTCCCCCGTTGCATATAGACTCCTATGTGGAGCCCCAACGCACGACTAGCCGCGTTCGCACTCTCTGTCGGCCTTCTGACATATTCCTGGCTCTGTTTCCATGGGTGTTACGCTCACTGAAAATATGATGGTCCCTCTCTGTCGTTGAAATCTGAATTTGAGTGGTTCTCGGTAAGTAGGGAAGTTCAAAGTTGACGCAGCTGGGCTCGCAGAAAGTTCTG